TATGCCTTGTGGCTGCAATGTTGTTTCAATTAACTTCTCTGAATATACCACAATGAAAAGTGTCAGCTTTTTGCCTCAGAGGCCTATAATTAGATTAAATGAATACTGTTAATTATCTACTACCTTCTTTACACAAAACAGTATGTTTCCATAAATTAAAATACTTGTACAGGAAGGAAATTGTTGTTCACTCCAATACGTGCATACAGTGCTGGATTGTGAATACTGTGACTGTATCACAGTGTAGCACAGCTCTTTGTCTGCAGCCCTTATTTTACAGGAGCTAAAACAAATTACAACTGAAAAATCCACAGATATCACTCTATTTAAAGCGTATATGTTGGTGCAAGAAAGTGATATTACTAAATGCTGCAGTGCTTATGAAACAAATATACTTTTCTCTTTAACAGATGTTGTCTATAAAATTCCCTTAGAGAGATTAAATACAGCTTTGTTTGTATACCTACAGTCACACCCTCAAGGACTATGGCATGTACAGAGAGAAAACTGCTTTTTTCTAGCAGAGTGTACTTCTCCTTTCAGAAAATTAAAAAAAATCCGTTCTGTAGGAAGTATTTACAAGTAACAGCTCCATTTCCAGGCATGTGCATATTCCAGCTAATGTTGACTGAAAATCTTCTCTGCCTGTTCTCCAGCATTATTAGATACAAGCAGAAGTTCCTGACCGATCAATACACTCCCATCCTGGAATGCCTGATTTGGAAGTGCAGATTTTCAAATGGTGGTACATCACCTCTGGGGCAACATATCTGAAGCAGAAAGCACTCTTTTTGATTTGACAAAGTGTATCCAAATGTCCCTATTTCCATCAGAATAGATGTTAATAACTTCAGGCCTGAATATTCGATCCTCCCTCACCAGAAAATTACAATTAACTTTAGCAGAAGCCCTTATTTTGGCCTGCAGTATACTCTGCATATAAATGTGAGCTGTACTCAGGATTGCTCTTGTGTTCCATTAAGGTCAAATCCTGAAAAGCTTTTGAATACTCAGTGTTTCTACAGGACATTGCATTTTATTGTGGTTTGTGTTGCACGAGTATCTTTTCCTTTAAATGTTCATTAGCTCCATGTTTAAAAGTGTTCATTAAAATATCATTGTGCTGGTAATAATCTTAATACTGAGGAGTGAAGAGGGTTGTGTTGCAATATAAATGCTGTCCCGTTTCCTGCTCTCAGGGTGTAACGGGAGAAAGAAAGACCATCTTGATAGGCACTATCTGCTGAAGGAAAACTGTCACCAGGAGCTGTGAATTGCCTTTAACCTTTTAGTGGCTACACTGTGAAGAAAATGTTTCAGGCTTCCTATCCGGAATTAGGCTTTTGTAATTTAAAATACTCAAAAATGCTAGTGGCCCCTATAATTACAGCTACAAATATCAGAAAACAGTTACAGAGGAACAAAGAAATGCAACTGGAAACATGGTTCAGTGGTCTTGTACTTCCCTGAAAAGCTGATTATACTTTTGGCTGATTCAGTTTCTTTCAGAGGGAATTTACTCTTTCTGGCAGTGTGAGTCTCAGCAGCACTGGTTGCACTAACGGCACAAAATCCATCTGGGGATGAGGAAATTAGCTTGGGGTCCTGTGTGTGTCAAACTGAATTTTGCCACAGAGCTCTAGATTTTGGTTTTTAGCCCTTCAGTGCCCCTCGTTTAGTCAGATTCAGAAGCCATTTTAACACTAGTTTAAAAATAGAGCCATTTCATTTGTACTTTTGCAGGTGCCTTGCCCAATTCCCTGCTTTCCGTGCATGACTTATCTTTTAGGATAAGCACTAATGAAAGGTCAAGGTTATTCTGAAGTATCCAACATAGGAGAGTTCTCTTCCTCCTAGATCCTTAAGCTGAACTTCGCACAATTACAACCGATACTGTGCTGAAAGGTAATTCTAACGAGGGGAAAGTACAAAATGACAAGCAGAAACCTCTGGCACTGTATAATGTCCCTGGTGATTTGCACTTAGTGCTTCTTCAAAACGCAGAAGCCATTTTACCACTCAGAGCCACGGCAGAAGTGAATTATTATTTTTTTTCCGAGTGAGGTTCTGTAAATTAGGTCTGCAGAGCAAGGCTTGACACATCTGGCTCTCAGAAATGTGCCGTGTACTTTACCTCCGAAGATAATTTCCTCGCCTCTGTGACACAGAAACCAAGAAGCGTGGATTTTTCCTCCCCCCTCTTTCGCCCGCCCGATTTTCAGATGTAACACAAGGTCATGAAAGCCTCCAGCTTGGGGATACCTTGCCACCCATTTTTTAAAGGAAACTTGGGGACAAACCTGCTTGGTTTTGCCTTCTACATGGGCTCTGCGCTGGGAGAAGATGCTTCTGCATCTCTGGACGCGGTGCTGGGGGAGGAGAGCCCGGCGCTGCAGCGGGAGCCCCGCCGCCGCCCGGCAGCGGCCGCAAAGATGTGTCACAAACATCCCCCTGGCAAGATGTGGGTCCCTTCTGTGTACTCACTGCGGCTGCGAAGGCACCGGGGTTATCCTGAGGAGACTCCAGTCCCGGCTGCGGGGAGAGGGAGGGAGGAAAGGGAGGGAAAAAGAGAAGAGAGGATAAAAAAAAAAAAAAAAAAAAAAAAAAAAAAAAAGGGAAGAAAAAGAAGGAAAAAAAAAAAAAAGGCGCAGTGCAAGTTGCGGGCGGGAGGCGCGGGGGTGTCCCGGCGCCCCGCAGCCCCGCAGCGCTGCGCGGCCGCCCCGGGCCTGGCGGCGGGGGCCGGGGCGAAGCGGAGCGGCGGCGGCGGCGGCGGAGCCCGCGGAGGAAACTAAATAAATAAAATCAGACTGTTATTTAAGGCGCGTAAATTTAAAATTATTTGGACAGGAAGAGCAAGGGGAGCGGAGCCGCAGGAGCCAAACTAACGGTTTCGGAGCCCGGCGCGCCCCCCCCCCCCCCCCGGCCCCTCCTCCGGGGGGTTTTTCTTCCCCCCCCCCCCCCCCCCCACCCCAACCCCCGCCATGCACAGTATAACAGACGCCACAAGTAAATGCAGAAGCTTTCCTCCCCTCGCGGTTTTTTTTTCGAGGGAATTTCAGCCCTTTAGTCAGGAGATAATAATGTTTGGCTGCTTCTGGCTGCTTCGGCGGGCTGCCCAGTGAATTCCCAGGTACATTTGTGGAGAAGACCTTTTTCTTTTTTTAAAAAACTAAAAAGGGGTAGTTTTCTATTGTGTTAACTCTTTCTTCATGTGAACAATGCAATGGCACTTCCTACAGAGCTAATATCTTACCCCACCATGGAATAAAGCATTGATTCCATTTTTTTTCCCACAGTGAAAGCTGGAAAGAAACTATTTTCCTGTACTTAAATGTGCAGTCGCTTATTGCACTGGAGATTGAGCTGAATTCACCTTCAAATACCTTCTCATTTTCTCTCCCCTGGGTAAGGGCACGGCAGTGCCTGGGTTAGCCCTGCACCTCTCCTCCTCTCACCCCAGCACCCACAGACCGTGTATTTCACCCTCCCACGGTGCTGCTGCTGGAGATAAAACTCTCTTCGTTCCCTGTAGGATCCCTTTAGGATCTGCCCCTTTCCGAAAGGAATTCAGCAGCCCCCGCCGTTGTGCCGAGGATAATTTAGAAACAAAGGTCAAGTGTAACAGCTTTGCTCATCCGTGTAACCGAAATAGGGGAGAGGGCTCTTGCCCCACAGTTGTGTCCTCATGCAGCCTGGTCACTCTGAATCCTGGTACAGCTACATTTTATGCTCTGTTTCTTCACATTTTTCTGTGCTTGCTGTATTTGTTTCTATTTATACCTCTCATCTCGATACTACACTGTTTATTGCCGATTCCAGGGCTGCTGCCGGGCGATCTCTGCTCCTGCCTAGAGACTTACTTTGCAGTTGGTTTATGTCTCAATAAACGCTCTCAAAAATCTTTAATTCCATCTTACATGCTGCAGTTTTGCATCTCCGGGTAAATATTATTGTCGACATTCTCACAAATACGTGAATTTGTGAAACTGGACTTTCTGATGCTGCCAAACTACTTTAAGAAACCCACAAAAGTAATTTCTTAAACTACATCGGATATTACAATCCTTTTTCAGTGTCAAAGTTCCCTATTAATGAGACACGCTTTATATTATTTTCTCCTCGTTCTGTAAATATAAAACCTTCTGGAGGAAAGCCATCCCCCAGCAGCCAGGCACATCTTGTCACTTCCAAACGCTGTGAGTGTAACTTGCCAGCTGATGTACTTCTTTGCTTTCCCAGAGGCTCTTGGTAGAAACTTCCTGGAATAAGAGTAATTTTTGCTTTCAAAGTATCTAACGAGGAATTTCAATTTATCATCTTATTTCCTATAAATCGAGGGGCTCACGGAGAGAACGCAGCAGTAAAAGCAGATAAAACACACCTTTAAACCAGACTATCGCCCGTGACTCAGCCGCTGAGGCTGTGGGCATGGCCCGGGGGTGACTCGTCCTGGCTTCAGCCGTGGACTCCTGGCATGCAATAAAAGCCGCTATTTCTGACTAGGCGGGGCATATTTCTTGATAAAGCAGTTACTTTATTAAGCCACTGCTTAAACTTCGCCTTAGAGTAAATTAAATGGTGATGAAGCTCAAAATGGGTGTGCGATAAGCTTTTTTAGCAGCACAGGTGAAAAAAAAAAAAAGCGAGAAAGTTGGGATATTACCTTTCGGTGTTCACCTCTGCTGTGGCAGTGAATGGGAGAAATGCTGGTGGAAGCGCAGAATTTCGCTTTGTGAGAGGAATGGAGAAGAAAAAGGCTTGGAGAGTCCTCCAGGACTTGAGGAAAGGAAGACAGAGAGTGCCACAGAGCGATTTGGGTCACTTCACCTCGGGGACCTGTGGATTACGTTGCTTGGTTTAATATTTCAGTTGGTTTAGTGCTCTTTAAACTGGGAACTTTGGAGGTTATTTCCCTAAGCACGCTTCCTACATGGCGTGCTGCTCCGATTAACGATCTCTAGGTTCCTTGTGAACAAAATTATAATAAAAGAGCACAAAACTTCATATTTCACAGAGGTTTTTAATCAGAAAACACAGCAGTGTAACAGAGCTTATAGTAAACGTGACAGACAGTTTCAGCAAATTACTTTTTACTTGAAAATGTAGTACTGATTTTGTGGGGCTAATTTTTTTAAGTTGAAAACTAAACTAAGGTACTCCCTCTGCTCTTTTAAGTACTATTTAAAGTAGTATTAATTTTACATTGATTAAAACCCTTCTATTTTGTGCAATTAAATTTTAGACTATTCAAAATAAAGTAGTTTAAATTGCCCATCTGTCCAAAAAGTAGATCCTGTACAAATGTTAAAAATTTCATAAGAGACTCTTCCCAATATGTTGAGGCTGGAGAGGCAAATGAGTTTCGGTGTGGTGAATACTCTCAACTGTATTGCAATGGAAAATTTTCAATGGTTAAATCGTGTTTTAGGTGCAAGCAATAACTTAACCTCACAAATATCAAAGGTGCTGCTTCCTAAATGTCACTGTATGCAAATATTCTTGTTTTGTGAGATGCATCTGTCATTAAAATAGTTTATTTACAGACAAAACAGAATAGCTAGTGGAAAGCAAATATTACTGAAAGAACATCTAAACTGCACTCAGCATATGAAGTGACCAGAAATCTTGTATTGCAGCCTTCATATCTTCTTGCCTCCGACAGTGTTTCTCTGCTGCCTGTTTTGAAACTAGAAAAAAAGGTCTTGTGCAGTGCACAGTAAACACGAACTACTAAACTGAGCTGTTTAAAACCTCTGGCAATCACAGAAACACCACTTACATTGTTTCTGGTAACTAAATTCAAAACCAGATTGGTGAAAGTTTAAATACACAAAGAGGAAAAGTGTCATCTACATTTAGAAAGTAAGTAACCTACTTCTACAAGCTATTGTTAGTGACAAAATAGTTATTGCCTAAAGCATCTAAATGCCATCCACTGTCCTCAGGCCAAGCAACCTTTCACTTCCAGCTCTGCCTGTGCAGGGGTTGCAGGTGACCCCTTAAAAGGATGTTTTAATCCAAAACAAGACTTCAGACTCTTGAGCCTGACCGAAGGGGGGTGGGGAAGAGAAGGGAGGGGTGCACTGAGAGGTGGGAGAAATCACAGTAAACTATTTCCTTTTCTTAAAAGTCCAGCAATACTAAGCATGTGAATAGTAGCTCCTGGATTAATGACTTCATATGAATGACCTAAAATAAGTTGTAAAACTTGATACTGGAAAACTAGATATGAACAACCAACATACACTCGAATGAGCCTGTGAGTACTGAGTAAAGTGAAAGGTGTAAGAAACTGCTGGGAGCATGGATTTAAAACTTTTCTGTTATCTATAAACCCACTTCTGGAATTTCTTGAGACTTACACTACCAGCTGTTCAGAAAAAAAAAATAAAATAAGAGTAATGTGGCAACAAAAAAAAGGAGGGAAACACCCCAAGAAGTCAGCACGCCCTCACGTCCAAAGGAGACCCCATCCTAGCGGGGTTCAGTCCATGTTGGCAGGGAAGGAGCTGCTGGCCTCCAGGAGCTCCACCACGGCTGCTCTCCGGTAGAGCTTGGCCAGGTCGTAGGCAGTGGCCCCCCGCTTGTTCTGGTGGCCCACCTTGCACTCCGAGCGAGCCAGCAGCAGCTCCACCACCCGCACATGCCCCTCCTGGGCCGCCAAGTGCAAGGGCAGGTTGCCCTCGTTATCCTCAATGTTAACATCGGCTTTGAACTCCAGCAGAGTCTGCAAAGTGTCCAGAAACCCCTCCCTGGCTACGTCGTGGATGATGGCGAAGCCAGTACTGTCTTTCAGGTTGGGATTCGCCCCCTTACTGAGCAGCCGCCGGGCGATTTCGGGATTCCCGAGTTTCATCACCTATGAAAGAAAGAGGAGAATGGGATACCGCGGGGTGGGGGGTTTGCTCCAGCAGTGCTTCACATCCTCACTTCTTATCTCTGCCTTTTGCCAGAGCTCAATTCTCATTTAAAGCAGACAGAAGAGCCCCGCTATAAAACTGATGACGGGACAGAACATCTAATTGTAATGTATTTGTTACTGAACTCGGTGAAATTGTGAAAGATGTTATCACTTCGGTGGTCACAGCTTTCTGTCTCAGAGAGATAAATGTCTGAAATAGCATAGAATGGGGATATAACAACTTTTTTTTTTTTCTAATGAGGGTTAACTCAGTTTCTTAACTTACAAAAATTAAGTATAATTTGGTTTTATTTGCCTAAGCATTGAGACATCTCTGCATTACTGTTTAATCTTGTTAAACAGCAAATACAGGGTCTCTGAGGAACAGATATTTTACCTCAGCAACAGCAAATGTAGAATGTGTTTTTATAAGCTTTCAGGTGTTTACATTGTCTGTGCATTATCATAAAACAAATATTTGGACTGTACCATAGCTCTGTCTGTTAAGAAACATAAATGCTAGAAGAAATTTTTCTCCCCAATATTTGTGTTTCATTATGTCACCCAAAAGGAAAAGTCAAAAGGAATGTTTCAAAGTTCCAGAAGTTTTCCTCTAAAATTAGTATATTATACCTTCACAACCCCTCTATAAGTAAACTGTGGCCACGTTCTGTTGTTAAAAACATCCCTTAAAAAAATTCCAACAACAATAATAATTGGATTTTCTGTTTCTCTCAGAGAAAAAAAAAAAGCTCCTTTGAATTTTCTCAACTGCACCATAAAACTATCATGATTAGAACGCAGGTTTCTCTTATTTGGAACTTAACAGCTTACAGCGATTTCCCCTTAATTCCTCATTTTCTGTTTGCACAGACTTTCCAAAAATGAACACTATAATGTATAATCTCCAGGCAATATTTTCCTGCCCTTGAAACTAGTTTCACTGTTGGTGTCAAATTCGAAAAAAACCCCTCAAACCTTCTTTATTTCCTTAGAGAGGTTCACACACTGATTAGAAAATCTCGATTAAAAAAAAAAAAAACCAGCATAAACGAGCATTACAGTGCATTACATTTAACATAAAGTACAATTCCTACAGGGGATTTGCTGAAAAACTCTCCTGGTGACAAATATATATTAAGTTTTTTCAGGAAACCAAGCTAGAATAAATATAATTATATACAGCATTTGGACTGTAAAGTAGCCCAGTATATTATAACCACAGACAGGAGCAAAAGTGCAGATAAGACAGGCTGGGATTCAGGGAAAGAGATCTTTCTGTGCCCCAAGGCTTCCAGCCACTTCTTTCACTTCTGACGAGAGATGGAAGCAATGTAAAAGAAAACAAGAGCATTGTGATCTCTGTTTAGTAAAATCCGGACATTTTGATCTCTTTTTGAGAGCCCAGGCTGTATTATTTGTGAATTGAAAACATATATTTGGTTTAAGTGGGAGTTTTCTGTGTTCAGGCTAGGGGGACTGAAAGCTTCAGTTAAAGATGCGAGGGGGAGAAAATCATATAAAAGGTGAGGCTTTTTGGACGTGGACTACAACTGAACAGCAAATGCCCTTTATTTTGCAAAGTTTCACTTGGGGGGAGGGAGGCAAAGAAGGAGAAAGCACTAATTGAATAAGTCTGACGAAAAGCATAAGGGCAGGAGATGTATTTGAGGCCTGCATAGGTACACTTCTCCAGAAATAAAAAGGACAGAGCAAGACAAGCTGAGTAGTTGTTTAATTAAACATAAGTGCAGAGGAAAACTATAAATGCATTGACATTAATATAGGAGCATTCTCTCCGTTGTAATAGAGAGAGAGATTACAGAGAGATTATTTCAGTTTTGCAGACTGCACTGACAGAGAAGTCTTTCGAGCATGGCCACGCACCCACAGCACATTTCGGGATGATACATATTGAAAATAAGTCAACAGATTCTCCTGTTTTGATTTTTGTTGTGGTTAATTAACTCAGTTATGATTAGGCACCCATAAGAAGTATCATTAGGACACGGATGCATGTTTAATACAGCTGGATGCTATGTCATTGTGTAAAATATGCCTTAATTCAGGATACAGACAGTTAGCTGCTTTTAGGAAAAAAATGCCCAACATTACTGTAGGACAAATCGGTTTTCAGCCCTCATCCCGAGGATAAATCAACTACCTAAATGTTTCCTGATTTCTTACAGAAGTTAGTTTGCCTAAGTTTTTAATTTAAACCCTTTTGCTCTCTTAAAAATTGCTGCAAGTGCCTGCACTGCCATGCGATGCCCTATTTAGGTGCTAACAGGACAGCAAGGAGTTCACAGATCTCCAGCTTCAGCGAAATTGTCAAAACAGGGTCATTCCTGCGTTTTTAGCAAGAGTTGCTTATTTTCCAGCTCTAACATTTTGATGTTAAGCCAAAAAGCTGTAAATATCTCGAGTACATTCACAGATTCTATGCTGTTTAAAAATCCAGTTTCAGAAATTATTATCACGGTTTGCGGGGAAGGGGGGAGAGGGGTTAACAAACGATTTTACTAATGTGTGAAATTAAAAAGACCTATAGCTCCACTTCCACATTTCATTACTTATACCTTCAGTACAAATAACCACACTTATTTTTCCCTCCGGATTTATAAATCACATCTTTCACTATTCGGTAGGTATTCTAGCCCTTTCAGCATCAATATCTGATAATATTAAGAGCAAAATCTTTCCCAGCTCCAGTAGTTTGCAGTTGGATAAGTTCCAACTCCTGCCTGCACAGCTACACGATTAAAAATTAGGATATAGCACCCTATACGATCAGAAAGTAAATAACTGGTAGCAGTGCCCTGCTAGCCGATCTAAAAAAGCAAATTTTAAAGTCTTAATTATGAATGAAAAAGCAAGTGATTCAGCTGGAACCCTAACTCGTAGGGCTAACTCTTAATGTACATCGGAGGTCCTCGGTTCTGAGCAGCATGCTTCCCAATGAGAAAGGTCATTCCTCACAAACAGTGTATAAAGGAAAAGTACCATCCACAACAGACCCCAGAGCCCAGACGAGCTACACTTCAAAAGCACATTGCAGAAAAAAATAAGGAAGAAAAGAAGAGATAAATCCTAAGCCTCAGAGAACAGCACATTTGTGTTTACAGACCTGCTATGAAATCCTGCTCACCTAAGCTGATTTCTTTTCATCTCAGCTCTCTCATTCCTTGCCTCCTCCCCATAAAATTACAAAATATTAGCAAACTCGTAGCCCGTTTGACATTGAGGGCGATCCCCGATTGAAAGAATGGTTTTGACCAGTTTTATTTCAAGTACGTCATTTTAGGGAGTTGGAGCCACTAAACTTATAAAATATGGCATCCAACGAGTTTGAAAAACCACTCGAATTTCATCCACCAGCCTGCTTAAAACGTTGTCTTTTTTGGAAACCCGGGTCACGTAGGTACCAGTGATGAAATATTTTCTCCCTCTCTGGATACCAACCTGCAGCGCAGTCCTCCCAAATCCATTTTGTGCATTGACGTTTACATTCTTTTGCAACAAATTAGTAAGTTGCACTAGGTCCCCCTTGGCAGCCGCGGACGCCAGCTCGTTCCCAGAAGGCTCGGCCATTCTTTAGGGTGACTGACGATCGGAAAAAAGATGAGATTTTTTTTTTTTTTAACCAGGCATGGCATCGGAGACTGACAGAAGGATTGGGATGGTTAATCTTCTGGAGTAGACCTTGTAGTAAATACTAGTAAAAAAACCTCCTTGCCAAGACCCCGCCCCTAACTCACACGTGATTATTCAGCAAAACTGCAGCTCCACTTGAAGGAAGATTTCTTTGCTTCCACATATAGAGTAACTCTTATTAAAGACTTTGGCCACATTCGCGGGGGGTAAATAGATTAACAGCTCTGCAATATACTGTATATGTTATAGGTAATATATATACACGTATACCGGAGACTCACTCAGACCTGAGATCTTGGAAGAAGAAGACAACCCACCCTGTTCACAGTCGGGATCTGAGACTTAGCAGCAGCAGCAGCTCCGAGGAAAGGTCTCCTGTAGCAGTGTGCATCCAACTCCCGCTCGAGATCCCCCCTTCATCCCACTCCGCCGCCTTAGTCCGGGCCCAGCAGGGAAGGGAAGGACGAGCCGCGCCCGCGGAGAGCCGGGCGCGGCGGCAGCGCCTGTCCCGCCGCCCAGCTCGCTCCCTCGGTGCTCTCGCTCCCCGCAGCAGCAGCAACAGCAGCAGCTTCACTCCCGCAGCCCCGCGCAGCCTCCGCGCAGCGGGCGGGCGCGATCCCGGCCGGCGGCCGCCCCCGGCGGCGGCGGCTCCGGAGCATCCAGGAGAGCGGGAGTTGGATGCACACTGCTAG